GATTGAACCAAGCAAAAGGTCAAGTTCAAGGCACTACCTGTTCTTGTGCTTTAGGGAAAGATAGAGGAGTTTGTGGGCAGGGTGTGTGCCTCACCAAGACAAGGGGATATATTAACCCCTGCCTCCATCTAGTAGTGATGGGGTGGGGGTGGGGGCTTCTGATATTTCATCACAGCCTTGATGGGATCCACAACTGTAGATCTTTGAGAGTGAGTTTTGGTCTGTCAAGTGGGCCTGTGTCCTCCCTCTAGGTCGGCTGCCATCCGGGATTTCCAGGCCTAGGAAAGCAGGAGCTGGGTCCCCAGAAGAGAAGGAGGATGTGTTGGTGAAAGAGGGAAAAGGAGAGAAAGGGCACAGTAGGGCCTTGAAATGGAGTCTTCAGAAGGAAGAGGTGAGAGAGCCAGTTCTGATCGTCGGTGAAGGCCTGAATTGGGGAAGAGTCAGGAACCCAACAGTCCCTTCTCTGTGCATTGGGTGTCGTCCAGTGGCACCTCAGCTATTGCTCAGCCTAGGAGAGGCATTAGAAGATTCAGGAGGCTGTGGAAGGGGACACTTGGCCGGGAAGAGGCAGGGTGGGACATAGGCAAGCAAGAGATGCAGGGAGATAGGACAGCCTGGTGTTGGCATTCATGCTATGGACTACACACTGAGCAGCCAAAGGGCTACAAGTGCAGGCCCTGGAGTCTTCAGAGTCTCAGATTTGGGGAACAATGAGTCACTGCCAGTGCCCAAGACAGCCCCAAGAAGAGAAGAGGGCCGCCTAGGAGCAGGCCAATTGGAGTTCAGATCCCCTGAGTCTGGATATGCTCCCTGTCTACAGGTCTATCCTCCCTTGGAGTGAGTGTTAAGCAGCCTATCAAGTGACAGTCCTTTCAGCTCAAGTCCCTTAAATGAGTGTGATGGAAAACATCCCTAGCACAACTCTAGCGAAAAGTTTTCACATTGCCCAGGTGCTCACAACAGTTCCAAGGCTACCCTGTGCAGGCACCACAGCAGGTGCCCTCCAGCTGCTGCCCAGACCCCTCGTCTGCAAGAAGAAGCGGAGGCAGCAGTGCTGGGCCAAGGCACCTGGACACACTTTATTCCTATTTCCTGCTTGGGTCGGCAAATGGAGTGCTTAGCATCTGCATCATCTTTGCCAGGGTGCACTCAGCCTGCCCAAGGAAGTTCCAGAAGGTGCTGCAGAACCCCCCAGCCTCTCCACCTTTCGGACCAAATTAAATGAAGCCTTGGAAAGCTTGGTCTGCTTTGGTGAGCAAATCGCCTCGTTAGCCACTTTCGCCTGACAAGGGTGGCGTGCCTGTGGGGCGCCGGCCTTCTCCTCTCCCGGTGGCCATCTCCAAATGCTGCATGGAGAGCAACGGGGACTGGCCCTTCGATGTCTGCCTAGACCTTGAAGTTCGGAAAAACAAGAGATCGAAATGGCTCCCTCCCTTCTCCACAGACACACACGCACCGTCAGGCTGCCGCCACTTCCTGCCTTTGTTTTTCTTCCTCCAAAACATTTTTGGCCTCTTACATTAGCTGCCGGGGGTGGGAGGTGCGGGGTGCTCCAAGTTGACGATTAAAGGAAATACATGCTGAAGAATTGTTTTCTGGAGATGGCCCCAAGTTGTGAAGCTCCTGAAAAAGAATTCCTGGGAAGCCAGTCTCTAGCCCAAAGTCACAGCCTTGCCCATCTCTGTCTCTTCAAGAAATGCAACTCAGACTTGGCTTTTCTGGCAGCCTTCGCCCTGTTTTTGGGTCTTCCCCTGAGCTTGGTGGGCTCATCTCAGCAAAGTGGAAGAGTCAATTAGGCTTAGGGCAAGGTAAAAACCAAGGACCCACAGCCCTGCCTCCTCTGCTGCCCCAAGATTTGGTCTGATCCTCAGAGCTGCACACACCCTGCACTCCCCTCCACCGCAAACATTCATACTGCCAACCAGTATATTCTGGGCAAGAGAAGCAGGCCAAGCCAAGAACAGCGAGTGCACAGCCTTGGGGATCTGAGCACCCTTTCCTGTCCCTGCTGGGGAACACCACTCCAGGCATTTTCCCTTTTCCTGGCATCAAAAGCCTTTCTCTCTTATCCATCTTCATGGCAGTACCCCCACACCACCCCCTTTCAGCCTGCAAGCCCCTCCTGGCATCCTGTTTCCATGTAGCTTTCAAAAATCACCCTGCCAGCCGCTCCCGGAGCTCTTTCCTCTGCCCCAGCCTTTCTTCGGGGATCTGCGTTTGTCTCCTGCAGACACCCATGGGATCCAAACCTGCCAGCACCCTCTCAGCTTGGCTCTCAAGGACATAGGGGGTACTGGTTATGCAGAACGGCACACATCTCCATGCCAGCCTTTCTGCAGGGATCCCCTCTCCCTGACGCCAAGAGAAAAAATGATATAATTAGGAACTGGGGTTGGGGGAGGCATCCTGGTGTCCCCCACTGGCGGGTCACAGCAGCCGGTCTGCTCAGACACAAGCTGAAGTTGACTGCCAAAACTGCTATAAAACCCCAGGTCTGTCTAGAACTATTTTCGGTTCTCCTAGATGCTCCCGGGTTCAATTATAGGCTTAAAAGCCCTAATACAAGTGCAAGAATTTGTTTGCCTTCACGCAGGGGCGGGGCAAGCCCCGCAATGGTGGCGCCTTTGTTATGGCAAAGTCACTGAAACCCCTCATGCATTCCTTTTGTTCGAGGGTCGGGTGGCGGGGACTGGGTGGGCTGCTGACAGCGTTAGAGAATCAAAACCAAGCCAGAAAATGGCTCAAATACTGCTGGTCACACACCTCTCCTTCTTCCTTTTATATTCAGTTTCCAAGAAAGAGACTCTGTGGAGAAATAAATATTTTGCCTTGATGGTCGCCGCTGGAAATTGAAGTTTTTTCACTGCAGGGCAATCCTGTAACTGTGATTCCCAGCTTTAGGAGGTCTCAAGCTACCCTTCCCCAACAGCCTTCCTTCCCACCAGATCTTCTCACACCACTACTGCCCTCTGCACAGCCACAGTGGACATTTATGTCGAGCTGAAGATGCACAAATAATTTCAAGTTCAGCTTTTAGGGATTTAAGGGGTATGAAAGTTCTTGCAGAAAATCCTGAATACAGAGTTCATTAAACCAATGTGTCCGAGTAGGTTGATTTGTGATAAGCTACCCTTGTAAAGGCAGAGAGAGAGGAGCCACGTAAACATTAATGCTAATAAATTAGTTTACTCCACTACAGAGTAATTACTCGATATTACTGATATTTACAGCGGGTATTCAAATGCAATGGTAGGCCATCATTTGGAGAAAATACATAATGAGAATAGTTCTTCTCCAGTGCAATGCATGATTAGATTTGTTATTGAGTCAGTTACAGTCAGCTCAGCAATAAATAAATAAATCGATGTTGACACTTAAATACCAAAAGATCTTAGAGTTTATACTCTAAATCTCTCCAAGATATATAAATACCTTCAGCTATTTCCCAAATGGGGAAAAGGAAAGGTTATCCTTTTTTCATTTTCCAACTTGCCTTCAGTGGCATCCAGCTCCTTCCAAGAAGATAGGTGCAGGGACACCTCACGGCAGAGCCCCTCCCTGGTCTTGGCCCCGCCTGGCAGCTCCATGCCCTCTTCTTTTGATTCTCCCAAACATGGTTAACTTATTTGTGCAGGATGGTGAGCATTTTTTTACCACCTTAATTTTTTTCTCTTTCCAAGAAAGCCAGACTCACGCTGGCCACTATGACCCCCATCTGTATCTTTAGTTCAAACCTAGCCTTTTCAAGGCGTCTTTGTCACCCAAGGTATTGGAAGTTTGGGTAGCACATCTCTTCTTCGGTGTTTCTGTTTCCCGCTTTCTTCTGTAGGATGAGTAGCAGGAAATGCGCCGAGCCTTCTGAGTTTCTGCCCTGCACATCCCCGACTGTAAGGCTTTGCAAGGAAGGAGGGGAGGTGTGTTTACCATTTCCTCAGCCACAGCTCCCTGGCCCTCACCCTCTCCTCACTGTCTCCACTCTCCCTACAGTTCTGGAGCTCCTCTAGCAGACTGGTGTCCCCCCAACTCCCCGAAGGTGCAGCATACCCAGGAGAAGGCTCCTCGGATGTCAGCGCCTCTAAAACAGCCCAAGGCTCGCCTCAACTGCATGGTTTCCCGAGTCCTCAGCTCCAGAAGACCAGGCGGGCAGGCGGGCGGACCGGTACGCAGCGGCGCAGCCCCCACGCCTCTGGCTCTGCCGCGTGATTCCGAACCCCGGCAGGCAACGAGGAGGAGGGGGTTTCTCCAAGGGCAAGGGGTAGGGTGAAGAGGCCGGCAGGGAGGATGTAGGGGAGGTGGATCCCGGGTAAGACGAAGGCCCTTCCGGGACTTGCATATCCCTGACAAACCGCGAGGGAAGCCGCTTTGGTTGTTGGCGGTTTAGGGACGGAAGGCACTAAAGCGCTTCGGAAGTGACCATGAATGCGAGCGTGTAATCAAGTCACCGTGCAAATCGGGCAAGCCACGAGGCAGGCACATCCACGGCTGCAAACCCTGGCCCCGAAAGGGGTCCGGCCAGGGTCGAAGGAAGAGATGGTTCCCAGAACAAGCCTGTGGGAGGGGGACAGCGAAGAAGGAGGTGCGAACGCGAGCCTCCAGGCGAATAGATTCCAAGACCACGCACGGGCCACGCAGCGACGAGCTTTCACCCAGCCACCCCCAGTCTGTGGCATCCCTCACCCGGGGAGTGGTGGGTGGCAGGAGCTGAGCTCTCTCATCGCCCTCGGCGCACTTGAGGGCCAGGACTGTGCAGCTGAGCACGAGCGAGTGGCATGGGGGCGCACCCCAGCCTCGCCGCGCGCCGGGAGGACCCCCAGCCAACATGAGTTACACCGGCGATTACGTGCTTTCGGTGAGAACACCGAGTGACGATCTGTTGCTTCCCCTGAGGTGGCTACAAAGAAAGGAAGCCGGGGGAGGAGGAGGGGGGGGGAAGGAAAGGGGGGGAAAAAAAGCCGGGACTAGCTCGCAGCTTGTCAATTTCAACATCGGGTCACATGACCAGCACCTCCCTGCTAAGGATGGGGATAGATTTCCACGTCAGCTTACGTCTCCAAATTTCTACTTCACCGATCCGCTTCAAAGAGGCAGCTGCAGTGGAGAATCATGTTAAGCTCGGCTACTGCGGAGAGCCCAAGGTAGCCCAATGATGGATTTTGATGAGCGTGGTCCCTGCTCCTCTAACATGTATTTGCCAAGTTGTACTTACTACGTCTCGGGTCCAGATTTCTCCAGCCTCCCTTCTTTTCTGCCCCAGACCCCGTCTTCGCGCCCAATGACATACTCCTACTCTTCCAACCTGCCCCAGGTCCAACCCGTGCGCGAAGTGACCTTCAGAGAGTACGCCATTGAGCCCGCCACTAAATGGCACCCCCGTGGCAATCTGGCTCACTGCTACTCCGCGGAGGAGCTCGTGCACAGAGACTGCCTGCAGGCGCCCAGCGCGGCCGGCGTGCCTGGAGACGTGCTGGCCAAGAGCTCTGCCAACGTCTACCACCACCCCACCCCCGCTGTCTCTTCCAATTTCTATAGCACGGTGGGTAGGAACGGCGTCCTACCACAGGCTTTCGACCAGTTTTTTGAGACTGCCTACGGCACCCCGGAAAACCTCGCCTCTTCCGACTACCCCGGGGAAAAGAGCGCCGAGAAGGGGCCCCCGGCGGCCGCGGCGACCTCCGCAGCGGCAGCGGCGGCCGCGGCCACGGGCACTCCGGCAACTTCAAGTTCGGACGGCGGCGGCGGCGGCGGCTGCCGGGAGGCGGCGGCGACGGAGGAGAAGGAGCGACGGCGGCGCCCAGAGAGCAGCAGCAGCCCTGAGTCGTCTTCCGGCCACACTGAGGACAAGGCCGGCGGCTCCAGTACGTATAAAGGCAGCGCCCTGCGCTTTATGAAAGGGGAGTTGGAAATCTAGCGCAGCACCGCTGTTAAATTTTTATATGCTGTTTTATAAGCATATAAGGTTTATGAAGGGCCTTTAGGTTTCCCCCAACAAAACTTTGTTATAAAAGGCGGGATCACGTGGCGAGTGCTGAAATTGGCCGTGAAATACCCACCGGCCAAGGCATGCCTGCAAAAAAAACAACTCCCCTTTTCCCTTTTTTCCCTTCTCAGCTCCCAAGCCCGGCAGCTCTACCCCGCTCGGGGCCAACTCAGGGCTGGGGAGCCAGAGGTGGGGGCCTGTAAATTCCCCCTGCAAGGGCTCCAGGAACCTTTGATAGCGAGGTAATCCGGAGATTTTTATAAAAGCCATGTGTTGCGCTGGGACTCCAGTCCCGGCCCTGATTCAAAGGCATCGCTGTTTAACGATGGCGCTAGGAGCGTGTTTAACAGATAAACTAGCCGGCTTAACTCGAGCAATATATTAAAAGAAACAAATTAACCCAAAGTTGGCCTTTTTGTCCAAAGGAAGCCATTTTCCTCTAGCGCGGTGGCAATTACGTGCCGACTCCTGTCCAAATGAACGTTATTCAAAATTGTTATTCAATCTGTCAAAAGCAGGGTTTTTTACTTTAGGTCTTGGGGATTTTATGGAAAAGGGGAGCAAGTGGAGCCTGCCCGCAACTTTGGGAAACCTCTCTTCCCTCCACCCTATGTAAAACAGTGCGCCTCTCCTGCCGGGGACCAGGATGGCTGTGCCTTGGTGCTCATGGAGAGCCCAAGGTAGGGGGCTTCGGCTGCCACCTCCTCACCTCGCGAGGCTGCTCAGAGAGGTAGGAGCTGGTGGCCAGAACGCAGGCTGACAAAAGACCCGGCAGCCCCCAGATGTTGAAGGCCGAGTCCCGGCCGAAGTCTGAGAAAGACTGGAACTGGGGCCTCCTTTACTGCCCTGGGAACCCGCCGCCCAGGTGCTGGAAGGTGAAATGTCCGCAGGCGGCTGTTTGTTTAGTCTGGCGGGGCTGGAGGCAGGCGGCAACCCCCACTCGGCTGCTTTGAAAGCGGCTTCCGCGGCATAAACTCGCCTGTTGCTATGAGGAGCCCTTCTTTCTGCTCTGGGGGCAGAGGGAGTAGCTTCCCTGGGGGCCTATCTAGGGAGCTGGCTTTTAACTGGGGCCGAGCCTCCGCCAGCAGCCTGTCCCCAGCCGGCAGTAGGGGCCTGAAGGCTGGGGCCTGGGGAGAATTTGATGGGGCTTAGGCCGGGCCTCTAGTCCCTGGAGCAGCCCTTTTCCTCCATTCAGGACTCTAGGATGGATTGCAGCCCCCACACCTGGCTCACTACCTGCTTCTTTCTTCCTCCACAGGTGGCCAACGCACGCGAAAAAAGCGCTGCCCCTACACTAAGTACCAGATCCGGGAGCTGGAGCGGGAGTTCTTCTTCAGTGTGTACATCAACAAAGAGAAGCGCCTGCAGCTGTCTCGCATGCTCAACCTCACCGACCGTCAAGTCAAAATTTGGTTTCAGAACAGGAGAATGAAGGAAAAAAAAATTAACAGAGACCGTTTACAGTACTATTCCGCCAACCCTCTCCTTTAAGGCTCTAGCTAGCTGGAATTGGGTGGGGGGCTTCCTACACATGAGATTATATGCAGATTTTGCCCTCGACAAGGTCAAGACACATGGTGACTTTTGAAGAAAGGAGGTGTGCAAGAGGGAGGTGGCTACCCAGACATAGCCCCAAAGGAGGTGGCTGGAACTCTCTTGGGCATCTGTGGTTACTATTCCTAACAATTGGATTTGGAGTTCTCATCGTGAGAATGAATGGTTTGGGACCTCTGGTGGTTCAGTCTTGGAGACTCTGGAGCTTTAGGCTGGGTGTGGTCTCCATCAGGGACTGGGACCCCCGCCAGGCTTCTGGAAATCGACCCAAGCCCAGGACCCTCCACATGGAGCCTGCTCACCCCCAGGACCCCTGCACCAAGAAGCTATTCGATCTCCAAATCCAGTTCAGTATGGGGACAGGAGAGGGAGGAAGGGGAGGGATTCCTCGACATCCGAAATGGGGCTGCTTTCCAAACCCAGTGTGAAAGACTGCTGGACTAAGAGGTGGATACGAGGTGGGAGAGGGATGCTGATCCTTGAGGGAAGAAAGTCTACTATTCCAGGTGTCATTAGTGGCTCTCCACCTCTCCTAGCCACTCACCACACTGTCCCAAGCCTGAACTTCTGGTAGTCGTCTCCTGCAGCCCACCTAGTTTTTCCTCCCAATGAGGGTCTTTGACCTGGCCTGCCACTCAGGCCCAGAGCAGACTGTTCCCGAGGTGGAAGGCATCAAAAAGCCAAGAGGCTGCGCCCAGGCCGCTGGCCCCAACATCCCTGCAGGAAATGCCTGTGGAGTGCGGCAGCCTGGCAAAGTCTCCGCCACACTTGATTGAAGCTTGGATTTGCTCAGCGGAGCAGCAGGCCTGGCCCCCGGTTCCCAGCTATGAAGGGCTCAAGTCCCTCAAAACACCCGGTTCCAGCGCTGCACCCTGCCATTTACCACCCCAGAACTGAGCTTAGAAGCTTCCGGCGACCTTCCAAGAGCCGGAGAGCAATTTGGAATTATTTTATAAGATAAATATTATATTATATATATATTTCCCTGCAGGAACCAAAGCGAATTTTAAAAGATGCAATGTAAAGGGGGAAAAAAGATGAAAATATTTAAAGGCTCTATCTGTTTACAGTGTTCCACGGTTAAACTCACTCTGCTAAGAATATTTGAATGTATGCTTCATACAGGGATGGTGTTCAAACGACTTGTAAATAAAGGAACCATAACCTATTTTGTTTGAATACATTTTTTTCTGCCATTAGTTGATTTCCTTTCGGGTGTTCAAGATGGGGGGAAGGGCGTTGGGAACGGTATTTTTAATTTCTTACAATATCTGAAAAGGGGATGCTCTGAAGTAGCTTGGCCCCCCAGGGTTTGTGGACCTCAGCTAAGAAAGCCAGGCATCCTCCAATTGAATCTCCTCTGCCTCCCGTGTTAAGAAGTGCCTGGGGTCTCTGTTTTAAAGGCTATTTTGGCCTGTCCTCCCTTCGCAGTCACCCCGTATATCGCAGCATGTATACAGGTGACAGAGCACAAGGAAAATAAAGACTTGTGGAAACTTGAGTATTGGGCCCTGGTGTGACATTCCTCTCCCTGGTGGCCTTTTACTGCCAAATGTCTGCACCCCCATCAACATCCCCCCAACACACACACACTAGGAAAGGGGCAAGTTACCAGGCCCCTGAGGAGGTGGGGAAGTGACTTAGAATTTAACTCTGCTAGAAGTCAGGCTTAGAAAGTCAAGGTGACTGGCCTGGTTTTTCTGGGAAGTGGGGTCCCAGGAATAGGGTGTACCAAGGTCTGCAATATGGAGCTTCATCCTCGCAGGCTGACCCCAGCCTTGGGAGTAAAACTTGGGGCTGGAGGTGGCCAATGGGTCTGATCCAAGGCTAAGCTTGCTCATCTCAGGACGGAGGGACCTGAACTATGACCACTGTAAGGTGCCCTGGGATCCCCTTAGCAAAGGGAAGACCTGCCTGGGTACAGAAAACAGACTCAGGGTCTCTATAGGCACTTTCCGTGCAGCTCCCGATTGAGGCTGCATTTTCCCTTTGGGGAAAGAAAGATGCTGGTTTCCTTTTTGTTTCCTGCCTTTGAACTTCTGCCTTAAATTTGGACATCACCCATAACCTTGAGGGGCAGGGCAGAAAGGCCAGAGCCTTTTGTTGCCCACCCCATTCTCCAACCCCACCCCCACCCCACTCCTACCCCACCCTCATCCCACCCTCTCCCTAGCCACCCAGGCAGGGACAGAGGCAAAGAGAGGATGGAATTTGGATAGAGGCCCCAGACCCCAGGCCCCACTTTGTTTATTTATTTGTATATTTGTCTAACTGGTGCGACTAGGGAAATCGAGCTCAAAAGAGAGTGGGACAGACCTTGAGATGAATGTCTAGGTTGACAGACACACAGAGGTGAAGAGGACTCTCCTGGGGGACAGGGCGGGGTGGATAGGGGTGGATAGGGAAGCCCAGAGTTTAGGGAAAGACTTCCTTTGGGACGGTTAAAGATTAACCAAAGTCTCCCAAGTTGCTAGAGAGAGTCTAGCCAGGAGGATTGTTAGCGGGCGGGCGGCGAGCGGGCGCGGGTTTGATTTCTGAGTCCTATAAAAGCCCATCCTCCGATGGCTGTGACAATGTGGTCGTAAACCCGTCCGGGGCTGGCCAATTTGCATATTTGGAATGCGCCGCTATAAACCCAGCTGGGGTTTTGCAGCAATTTCTTAGATGTAAAAATGAGATCTCTTTAGCAGCGGGCTGGGCACGTTCTCTCCCTCCGTTTCTGCCCCGAGCCTGCTTCCCTATCCCAGCTCGGGGCTGGAGTTCGGCCGGGCCTAGGCTCTCAGTCGCCACGAGATGGCGCACTTCCGATCAATGTCAAAGCCGCCGGGGAGCCGGCAACCCCAGCACGATTCTTGGCCTTTGTTCGCTTGTGATACTAAGAGCAGCACGTTACATTATTTCACTTGTCCCGTTCCCCTTCGTGTCAAAAAAAGGAGGGCTCACTTTCAAGAAGTTATTTGGTTGTGTAATTTAAAGCAACGCGCCTTCTCCAGACCTCGCAGGCGTCGCAGCGCGGAGAAGCCAGCTGTCCCGTGGCAGTGATTTCGGAAATGTGCTCAGGTAAGAGCCCACAAGTTTAGCAATTTGTCTGGCTTGAGCGGGAGTTGGAAGGTGACCGTTGTCTGAGCAGAGCTGGGGTAAGTGCTGGGTTTGTGCGCTCCGGAGTGACGCTATAGGCATTCGGCCCACCCCCACTTCTAACATCGCTCCCTAAGGTTGGAAAGCAGGAAGAGGCCTAAGCGGAAAAGTTGACTGTTTAACCTCCCTGCGCCAGCATTCTACCTAAGGCAATCTTTCGATTTTGTAGAGATATTCATGATGGGCTGAGCCAGGGGTGGAGGCCATCCAAGCGAAAGGGTCAGGGCTGTGCTCGGCATAGGGGGCATAGAGGGTTGTGGTGGTAAAAAAAAAAAAAAAAAAGAGAGAGATGGCGGGACTGGGAAAACTGAAAGTTTCTACTTGAAACAATGAGGTGGTTAGCAACCATGGCGGCTGAGGCGGGCTTATTCCCTGGGGCAATCATCGAGGGGGAGGTCATTGGTTTCCTACTATGTGCTGTCTCTCGGTCTGCCCAGCAGCCGGGGGAAACCTTTGTTCCTAAAAAGGCCGATTCAGAAAAGTCGCATTTGATTTTCGAGGCTGCCAGAGAAGTCTGTATGTTTTATTTGGAATCTAACACTCTAAACCTGGCTGGGATTTTGCAACAATTTCTTTGATGTAATAATGAGATCTTTTGCATATTTTGCAAATATGCAAAAATTGTATTGGTAAATGCCTGTTTTCACAAGCTAGTTTTGAAGATAAGCTCTGATCCAACAGTCCCTACATCAGGGTTGTCATAAAGCCAGTTTTAAATAATTATTTCACTTACATTCAGAGCCCAGATTCAAACTCCTTCTTTTCCTATATTTAAATTTTTATATCAATGTTTTCATTAGTTTCTTGAAATGATTATGTTTTTTTCACAAATATACAGTGCATGGGTGAGTGGGGGCAAATTTCGGAGAAAGTAGGTGCTGTCTGTGCGTGTGTATATGTATGTGTGTGTAAATTTTGCCTATCAGAATCACTAGTCTTTGTTGGGCACGAGCTCCCAAACTCTGCCAGAAAAAGGCAACCACAGGAGCCATACGAGGTGGATGTCCACATGGTGCTCTCTGCAGCCTGGGCATTCCCTAAAATTCTAAAGCCGCTTTTAGTTTCAATGCCAGAGGCAGTTTATTATGGAGAAAACTAAGGATATTGCAATTTAGGAGGTCTGTGAAAAGGCCCCAACACTCCTCCCATCCCAATTAGGAAAGTAAGGCTAGTTCAGTGGTCAGATTTAGAAAAATATTTAAATCGGTTGTTTAGGGACAGATTGTACTTGATTGATTCAGAGCAGACACATCGAATATCCCTCGAAATGTTGATATTCTTAAAGATGAAAAGGAAAGGAATGTAATCGCTTACAAAAAAAAATTCTTACTACCCAGTAAATGCATTAAACAGAAATCCAAAATTTTTGTTGAAGCTGAATATGTATGTGAAAGTTGTCTTTTGTTTTTTTCTCTCTGGGGCCGCAGCCCTACTCCATGGCAAGTCAGATAATTCTGAGCCCTGAAAGTGCTGAGCTACCTACACATACACATTTGGTTACTGGCTGTCTGAATCTTAGTACCTTATATTTATAAAAAGAATTTTTGTATCTGTGTGTGTGTTATAAGCTTATTTTTCTCATGGTTTGCAAGGGCCTACTCAGAAAGAGAAATCTGCTATCTGGTGAAGGGCATCTGGAATCTCCACCAAAGGGCTTATTCTACCGGCCTGGCATTTACTTCTACTCCAGAGCCTTAGGGATTGTTACCACCCAGATTAGAAATGGGCAATATTTACCTATAAGTAAAATTTGGGCTCTGGCTGCTTCTACATACCCGCTGCACAGACCTGGTTGAAGCAAACAGGCACCCGGTGTTTTAGGTCAAAGGCATCCTGAGGGCAAAAGAGAAATTCAGCAGCTGGAAGGGAGTGTGAAAGGGAGAGGGAAGGCCAGCAAATGGGTGAGAGGGAGAGAGGAGAGAGTACTCAGAAGCAGACCCATGATGCAAGTGAATCGCTTTTCTTAATCTGCCCCAGGGGGTAGGGATCCTCTGGAAAAACAAGGCGATCAATAAATGGGATATTCTATTGAAGAAGTTAACACCTCGATGTTATAAGGGGAGTGTGGAGCCTTAGGGGAGGTCAGGGATGCTGGGAGCTCCAAGATCTAGTGAGAGGGCAGCAGCGTCTAACTGGAGCTTCTGCAGCGAGGAAATCTGGAGTGAACCAGAGGCAGCAGGCCAGTCTGTGTCCCCCTGGAACCCCGCGGCTCTTCATTCACTCTTGGCTCTGCAAGCCCAGGTAGGGGTCAGATGACAGTCCTGAGGCAGAAAGGGGCTCCCACATGGGTTTACCTACTCTTTTTTTTTTTTTTAAGCAAGAAACAGTACAAATCCAGCATCCGTTTGGTTTTGGGGGGGCGTGGCAGGAACTCTGGAGATAAACATCTGGCTCTTCCCAAAGGTTGGTGAAGACCCAAGTGCCAATGCCAGGCCTGGGGGTTTCATTGGGCCTTCCACCTCCACTGCACTGCAGCCAAGGGGCCTTCTTGTAGCAGATGCCGTACCAAGCTGAATTTTGTAACCTTGGTTGGCGTGTGTTCTTTCTTGGATCCCATCCAGCCAAGAAGTCTGTATGGCCACCCTACAGGCCCCTGATCAGACCCCACTTGAGTGGCACCCGGATTGTCTTACCAAACTGGCAAGGCTGCTGAATTTCCAGAGAGTCCTGGAATATTCTGGATGGCTCAAGGTGAAGGCTTTGAGAGATATGTGAACTCTTTAAAAATGATGGGTCAAATTGTGGGAATGCACAGATATGCACTTTTCACAAGGTAAAAGTTAGAAATTGACCTTAGATTTTTCCAGGGGGGCCTTAATGTCCAAATAAATTAAGATAGATTTAGATCACTGTCTTTCACTTTATTTTCTTTGTCTCTGGCACCTCAAACATTCTCCTATGGCAACCAGCCCTCACCAACCTTCCCACAGGCCTGGGAAGTTACTTTCTGCATTTAGTGGGAAGAGGCACCAAGTCCAGGCCCACGGGCCTGCTAGGGTCGTTTTTCTCAAGGAACACTCTCCTGTTCTTGGGACCTACTTCCCATTCGGCAGAGCTTTTCCTGCTGAGGGGAAAAGCCACCTTCTAAGGCATCCTCAGCTTTTTCACATTTATCAATGACACTGCGGAGTTCAACAGTCCCAGTCAGTTCCACCCTCCTGGTGAGCTGGCTAACGACCAGGCCCATCTGGGAAGTATCCTAAACTACAAGTGCCTGAAGCGTTTCCTTAGTCAAGTTCGTTGGCCTCGCGGCCACTAACACTTCAGAATTTGCCTTGGACTTGTGCATGTGAGCGACATGGAAAGCAAAGGGCAGTTTCTGATCTCTCCACACAGACCCCTGACTTGACTCAGCTGGTCGGCTACTGCAGCCTCAAGACCTGGTGGGATTGGAGAGATATGTCTCTCTCCCCCTCTGTCCTCTCCTGTCCCTCTGCTTCTTTCTCTCTCTGTCCCCCTCCTCTTCACCCCAGATGCCCAGTCCGCTGAGTCAGTCACCGAAAGGTGCAGAGGTAGAAGAGGCTGGAGCGCATTGCAAGCGGTGGCGAGGCCTCCCAGCACTGCGCAGAGCAGCCACCTCTGGCAGAAACCGCAGCTGCTTTGCATCTCAGAAGCCAGCGCCAGGGCTCTTCCCCAGCTCTCCCGGCGCTTTCTATGGGTCCTCTCAGGCTTGGCTTCCTCTTCGGACTGGGTTCATACTGGGAAGAACAAGGCCAAGTGCCTGGCAAACCACCCCAAGATGCAAGGGTCTTTCCCCGCTGCATATAGAGGCCTGGACAGTCTGCTTCCTGCGATCCTGGCATTCAGCCCCTCCAGTTGAGGCCTTTGCAGGGGCTGGAGATGGAAGGACCAGCAGGTTTGGGGCATCCTGGAGAGGTTAGGGGCAAGGCAGCGACCTCCTGGGCTCCACTGGATCTGGCCGGCTGGAAAAGGTCGCATTTCCTGAGACATGCATGAGGCCCACACTTAGGGGCTAACTCTCTGGGCTGGCCATTTCCAGTTGACAAAGAGCGCGTCCCTAAGACTAGGGAAGAAGGAGGCCCAGTGTCTGCCGAGCAATGGACCTGGCCTCCGAGAGCTCCTATAACTGGGCTATGAGCCCAGCCCGGCCTTGCAGGAACAGATTTCCTCACCACGGGCCTCCCTTGTTAAAATGCCCATGCCGCGGGAGTGAGGGCAGCCCCAGCAGTGGGTTTGGAAGGGAGGGGGGAAGAGGGGAGGAGATGGAGAGTAAGGAGCGTGGTGACACTGGTTCTTGTTATAGCCTCCAAGAGCTTGCGAATGGCAAGGCTCAAGGGAGAGTTGGAGAATAATCTGGCAGAAGTGCCCATCGGCCACCCCCCACTCTGTTTCCCCTCTATGTCTGCACCTCTGATGAAGCTGAACACCCTGAAGATCAATATTTCTTTCACTTCCCTGATATGGCTATGAGCTTGGAGACTGCCAAGTGATGGGGCTGTGGAGTGCCTGGATCCGCTCTGGCCTCGCAATAAAAAGGTGGCAGAGTCTTTCAGCCGAGGTCAACAGTCTTTTCCACCCCCCTTGCCAGCCCATCAAGGTCCACCGCCAGGAGCTGCAGAGAAAGCAAGTCAGGTGAGCACACCAGAGGCAAAGAACCCAACTTAATCAACCTGGCTGAGAAAAGTGTAAGGGGGCTGAGAGGCCAGGGCATGACATTGAATGAAAATTCTATGTGGGATGCAAGAAAGTGACAATAGCCAGCTTACAGTCTGCTCTGGATTTAGAACACTCTGAGGGTCTTGGTGGCCTCAGGACCAGGTCCGCACTTTTGGGAAGCCAGTTCCAAGTCCAAAGCTGAATGGGAACAGCATGGGCCCCCAACAGGTCCCCTTAGAGGTTAGAGCGCACCGAGGGCTAGTGGTTGATTCTGAAATGAGGATGGGGAGCACCTATGGCGGTGCGGGGTGCGCACCATAAACACTCCACTTGTTAACTACGCGGGGCCCAAGGGCCCTTCAAACATATCCTGCTGGAGGGCTCACGTCCGGGCGTGGGTGGGGCAAAACCAGGGTCCAGGCCCCCCACCAGCCACCTTTGGGCAGCCCCCGCAGTTCCTGGCCTTTGGGCCGTGGTATAGGATGTGTGATTAGCGAGCCTTCGATACAGATTACATATTTATATCAATCGTGGGCTCGGAGGGCGCCCTCGGAGAGCGGCCCCGCGCCTACGAAACCAAACTGGGAGTGGTCGCGCGGAAACTCTGGCTCAGGATTGGCTGTGGGCGCCCGCCGCGGTGCGGGGGGATTGCTAATCGTATTCAGCATGTTTTGCACAAGAAATGTCAGCCAGAAAGGGCTATCTGCTCCCTTCGCCAAATTATCCCACAACAATGTCATGCTCGGAGAGCCCCGCCGCGAACTCTTTTTTGGTCGACTCGCTGATCAGCTCCGGCAGAGGCGAGGCTGGCGGTGGTGGCGGTGGCGCGGGGGGCGGCGGCGGCGGAGGATACTACGCCCACGGCGGGGTCTACCTGCCACCAGCCGGCGACTTGCCCTACGGGCTGCAGAGTTGTGGGCTCTTCCCGGCTCTGGGAGGAAAACGCAATGAGGCGGCGTCACCGGGCGGCGGCGGGGGCCTGGGGCACGGGGCGCACGGCTATGCGCCCGCGCCTATAGACCTGTGGCTGGACGGGCCCCGGTCCTGCCGGATGGAGCCGCCCGAGGGGCCACCGCCCCAGCAGCAGCCCCCGCCCCCGCCGCAACCTCCTCAGCCCCCGCCGCAGGCCACCTCGTGCTCTTTCGCGCAGAACATCAAAGAGGAGAGCTCCTACTGCCTCTACGATTCGGCGGACAAATGCCCCAAAGGCTCGGCCTCCGCTGCCGAGCTGGCCCCCTTCCCGCGGGGCCCGCCGTCCGAAGGCTGCGCCCTCGGCACCTCCAGCGGGGTGCCAGTGCCCGGCTACTTCCGCCTCTCCCAGTCCTATGGCACCACCAAGGGCTATGGCAGCGGCGGCGGTGCGCAGCAACTCGGCGCCGGCCCATTCCCCGCTCAGCCCCCGGGGCGCGGCTTCGACCCACCACCCGTGCTCGCCTCCGGCTCGGCGGATGCAACCCGCAAGGAGCGAGGCCTTGATTCACCGCCACCTCCCACGCTGGCTTGCGGTGGCGGCGGCGGGGGCTCGCAGGGCGATGAGGAGGTGCAAGCGTCGTCCTCCGCCGCGGAGGAGCTCTCCCCGGCCCCTTCGGAGAGCAGCAAAGCCTCACCCGAGAAGGACTCCCTGGGTAAGCAAGGCGTGCTGAAGGGCCGCAGCCAGGCGGGCAGACCAACAGGCAGACACAGAGAAGGGAAAGAGCAGAGAGCCAGGCGCCCGCGCAGCAGCCGGCCGGCCTTGGCCCGAGCTGCAGGCAAGCTGACCTTGTGAACTTGCTTTTTAATATTTGGGCGTGGGTATGCAGTAAAATTTCATGTCCGGCTTAGCGCTCCACTGGCCTCAGTTCACCTCGATTGGGGGTGGAGACACCGGCGAGCAGATCCCCTCTGGTGCATGCCCTTCTCCGTGGCCCGGAGCACCGAAGCCGTGGTCAGGGCCTAGCCTGCGAGGCGCGGCCCACGCGGGGGGAGGAGGAGGGAGGGTAAGTGGCTCGCTCTCAGATAGCGCGGATGTTTGTAAGGCATCCAAAATAAGCAGCCGCCAGCACCAATAAATAAGCCCATTAACCGGCGAAGTTCGAGTTTACGATCCCCCATGCTTTTTTCAAAGTTTCTGAAGGGGCGGGAAATCCTCATTGCGGGAGAAGAAAAGGCAAATCCGGCCGGGGCGTCAGGGCCCAGGGCCCTGAGCTGAGAAGCAGAGGGGCCATTTCGTTTACCCTGGAACACAGAATTGCCCAGACTCATGTCCCTGGCTCCTGCAAAGAGGTGAGGGAGGGCCCTTGACCCCGTATCAGTTTTTCATGCCGTCTCCATGTCGCAGCTGTGCCCTTCTCCCTCTCCTCATCGGGCCTTGTGCAACCAGGGGACTAGAGTGAGACACAGCCACAGTCCGTCCCCCTTCCAAGTAAGCACCCCACGCCCCAGATTAGGGGGCTGCAGAAAATTCTTGTCTGCCTTGGTGGGAGAGGCAAAGAAAGACGTTAAGTTCAAGATATACAGCCTTGCCCTCCCAGGCCGCTCCTTCTGCAAGCGCCTGACAGCTTTGTGCTGAAACAGGTGTTTGGGGAAAGTGGAGGAAAATGTAACTTGGGATGGTAGGTGTGGGTTGGAGGCCCACCCGGTTTTGCACATGCCTTTTGGAGGAACTGCTCTTCCCCGGGTAAGATGGGGGTGGAAGGGGATAACTTTCTGTGTGAGGGCATCCCTCTTCTGGCGGGAACATCCCGAATTCACTCTTGTGTGCAGCCCGTGTGGCCTCGATTTAACCTTCCCCTCTTTACTCTCTTAAATACCAGGCAATTCCAAAGGCGAAAACGCAGCCAACTGGCTCACTGCAAAAAGCGGCAGGAAGAAGCGTTGCCCCTACACGAAACACCAGACGCTTGAGCTGGAGAAGGAGTTTCTGTTCAACATGTACCTTACTCGAGAGCGGCGCCTAGAGATCAGCCGCAGCGTCCACCTCACGGACCGACAAGTTAAAATCTGGTTTCAGAACCGCAGGATGAAACTGAAGAAAATGAACCGAGAAAACCGGATCCGGGAGCTCACAGCCAACTTTAATTTTTCCTGATGAAGCTCCAAGCAACGCCGTTTTTTCTCTTCCTGAGAGCCATTCTCCTCCCTCGTCTTCGACCTCTGCTCAGGAACTCGCACCTGTGCTGGAGCCCCATTCCTCCCTCCCACACTCTCCATGTCGCTGGCCGTTTACATCTGTGCAGGGCTGGTTGGTTCTGACTTTTTGTTTCTTTGTTTGCTTGGTGCTGGTTTATTTGTTTTCTGGGGGAAAAAGCCATATCGCGCTAAAATTCTATAGGTAAATATTATCCTAAATGTCAAGGGATGGTTTGCTGTCTTGGGGTTCCACTGCTGGAAATGGCCCGTCCTCCTGGTGGGGCTGGTTTCCTGCGGGGGCCCCTGGACAAATCTGGCCGGAAGGCCGATGTCCCATTGTAGGCGCTGAGGTGTCTGGACTGAGGTCAATGGTGCAAGGAGCCGCCATCAGGCTTGCCTGCCTGGAGTCTGGGCTGTGTTTAATCAGGGGATACAGGCCCCTGGGTTTCTTTTTTTCTTCCTTTCTTCCTTGGCAAAGAGAAGAGCTTACAGGCATGGACATGTAGGTTGGCAAAAGGGCTTGACTTTGGCTGATTAGAAAAATGAGAAACAGGAAGATTAATCTTTTCCTTTATCTGTAAGATATCCCAGCTTAAAAAAAAATGATCAAGAGAAAGAAACTTCTCTTTCAGTCTGTGTAAGTTTTTGCATTGTGGGACTAAATTATTTCACTTACCTCTGAATTTCCATATCATTCTGGCTGTAGATAATCTAATGTAGTTTTAATACATGCAGATTGACTAAGTTTTTTTGGTCATTAAATAATTGTTACCACTGGTAACACTAGACAAGCACACCACAATTCTCCCTATCTTGTGGAGGTTTTTATTTTCCACTTTTCCTCTTCTTTTTCCTTTCCTTTCCTTTCCAAAATTCACAGAAGCCGAGGAAGGCTGGGGTAAGCAGAATAGACTAGAGAAGGGAGATATTGTTTGGGTTTCTTTTATACTGTGAAGTTACATGCATAAAAGGGTCAAACCTGTAGGTGCAAAAAAAAACTATAAATACAAATCTGTATAAATGTCTATTATGAAAAATTGCCAATCTTGTTTTATGCAAATGCATTCTATCATTATTATAAATGTTAGTTCTAGCTCTATTTACTTCTAATCTTAAATCAGAATAAATTAATATTGTAATGCTGCTGTGCGTGGAAAAAAAAGATGTTTATGTTCTTATAGAAGAATAAAAGCTGTGGAATGAAGCTTTTTAATTTTACCTCTTTTTTTTACTTCTTATCTTCACCTTCCACTTTATCCCATCCACCACTTTTACAACATGAGGACTAGCCCGCGCTCCCTGCAATTACTTTAGGCATCTATTTAAATATTACCTAGACGGTCGTAATTTGTCTGGGCCCTATAGGCCTGGTGCCGCAAGGTTTGTCGGCTTTTGTTCAGTTTTATGACTTGCTAGTTATCTGGATTGTGGCTGTCTTGGACCAATAGTTTCAGTTGAGAGGGGAGCTGCATAGGCAGAGGAAGCCAAACAGGATTTCTTTCGGGAGCCCCGGGGAGGCTCTCAGAGGGCAGTTATTTTGTGGGTCCCCTGGTTCCTAGATGACTCCCAGCCTACAAAACTGGGGAGCAGGGTGGGCTCACGGTGCGCCACTAGCTTCTGCCGCAGCGGGTAGGT